TGGCGCTAGTGTGCTGACGCAAATTGAAGCAGACAGCAACCAGTCCAAAATTGACTTCCGGTAATGCATTTCTATGGGAAAAAGTGAGTGCATTTTCCCTCTGCGCTCGATCATAAGAGCAAATATCCCGAATAATTCGTACGTTCTAGGTAGCTTGGAACATTTCTCAGTCAGGCCGACGAATAATTGGTCAGTTACGGTGTTTTTCTTTCAAATTCATCGCATTAAAAACGGTGCTAAAACAGCTTCCTACGTGTATTTATGTGCACTGTCGGACACTGTTAGCGCGAACACGACGTCGGCGCTTTTCAGCGTGGGGGATATACGTGCCAAACGAACGAAGAACATCTGGAAATTAAGAAAGACGGCAAGAACTACGCAGTAACACCGGATCAGTAACTACAGGTGCATATACGATCAAAATTAATTGAAGGCCACGTAATCTATTCCTATTTTAAATAAGTAAGTACCGTTTTATTCTTTCTGCTCTGAGCGAAGCTGCTTGTTCTACGTTCAAAATATCACTCGCACGCTCGAAATCTTTGAGAACAAGTGCCCGATAAAAGCTGCCCGGCAGAGAAAACAATACGAAGAGACAACGTTTATAGCCCACGGACTTTATTATCTACGTTTTGAACGTTTTTATCCTCTCACGCACGACGGGGTCATTTTTATATAGAAACAGGACTGGCATATTATCAATATATAAGCGTCACCGGATTGCTGGCGAGCCTTGAACACACACTACATTCCTTTCCATTGTAATTTTGCTTCGAATCGTCGCTTGTTTCTACACACCTGCTGCGGAACACACGTTTGGGACTGAAATGTAGCGAAGTTAAACATCGGTCACTGATGAAGAAAAATGCGCTAACTAAAGCAATTACACTTTTACAATGTTAATTAAGACACATACTATTCGGTACGACCGAAATAACCAAAGTGTTCCATGTTATTTTCCGGCGAAGAGACAAAATGCACGCGCGTTTTCCCATAGGAATACACAGGAAGACTGGAAAAGTAGACTGGTTGCTGTCTGCTTCAATTTGCGTCACGGAAGTCGCATAGACACTAGCGCCAGTTGAACCTCTAGCGTACATTATAATAACTCTATGATGCGCACATGGCTCCAATCATACCGATGGCACGCACAACATGTGTTGCATGGTTACAGTAGAGATTCAACAAGCCATGTTTATTGCTGCGAGTGCTGAGTGGTGTGGTTATAATTACTTCATTTGGGCCTGCCGCCTCGTTGGAGCGCGAAGGATGGATAACAAAGTTTAAGGGTGCAAGGTAAGGAAACTTCGTTTCTTTTCTTGATGCTTGCTGCATTGCAAATAGGCAATTTCTGATTAATAAATATACTGAGACACTCCTAGCTATATGGTCAGTGCAGGGTAGGAGCCTGAATGAATGAAGCTCTACAAAACAGACTCTTTTGAGCTGTCCGCTTGAAAGTCTTTGTTACCCAGTGTAATGAAATGTCAGTGAAAAAAAAAAAGTGTTTAAGGTACATCTAAAAAAGAAACTGTGGATTCCTCCTGAAAGCACTGACTTGCCACAGTTTACCTTAATATCCATAATTTGCTTTTGAGATTGTCTTAATTTACTTTTGTATTAGACAGAGTGAAGACATTAAGTGTCATGCTTTCAGAAGTTGTAACTGAGGTGTGAGCAGTTACTAGTTAATAATCTTGAGTGCATTGTTAATGAATTACAGGTTTCAGTTTTCAGTGGAAAATGGAGTAGGTGTCAATTTCAGTGGGAAAATGAAGTACAGGTGTCAATTTTAGTGGGAAAATGGTGGCTAACAGCTCTCGAATACATGGAGCTGAATGGTGCTAGTTACCAAAAATGGGCCCCATTCTCGTAATATTTTTTTGAAAATCAGTTATAACCTTTATTTGAGATAAATTAGTTCTGAAACTTTGGCATTTGGTTTCGGACCGCTGACGCTACATTTGGGGGGAACCCTGTACTTAAAGGAGCCGTTTAACAATATTAAATTGAATGTTTCTCACTCTACACAAGCTTACTGGCACCAGTGGGACCCGAAATACTCGCACGCAATGCCACTGACCAAGGAGCTTCTTTTTTGCCGCATAATTTAAAGAGTAAAAGCGAATACCTCTTTTCATTCTCTCCTTTGGTTGTGGGGATAGTGTTGTCGTCATTGTCAACAACATCAATCCTCAGGAGTTTGCCATAAGGCTTTGTGATACCCACGGTGACAACATTTAGGTGTGGCTCATATAGTGGACATGAGCACAGCGTGAGCATTCTATTTGAGCTTAAGACAATACCTCGACACGCACTCAAGTAGTGGCTCGTGCTCAGTTACTGCGACGACAGGAGTAGCCGAGCCTTAGCAATCTGTGGAATTCATTGTGTGCCCTGTGCTTTGCCAACTACAGGGTGTGGATACGATAAACATAGGTGGCATGTAATCAGCTTCAGATCATGTGGTCACTTGCTCTGTCTGCGAGTTTAGGAGATAAACGGTGTGTTTTATAGGTTGTGAATGTCAATGAATAATCAAAAGCTGTACTTACTGAAAGTACAAGGTTTGAATTGTACTGCCCCTTTAATGACGCGTCGAGCATCATACAACTTTGACCTCATGTGAGCCAAGTGTTTACTCATTTGTTGTAGGTCTAGACTTTGCTAAATTCTTTCACAATGCTTCTTAGATATGCAACTTAACTGGTACACATGTTCGACATGCAGGAGGCAGAGCTGAGCATGAATGAGATGGCGATCCTGTCATCAACTGCATCCAAGTTGAAAAATAATCCTGGGAGAAGGGGAAGAAGGCACAGCTAGATGACTGGTGCGCGACCGAAACAATCCGCCTGACCCTGGTGTCGAACCAGGAACTTCCCGCGAAACATTGGTCTCAACGTTCAATCTGTAATATTTAGGTATACTGCTAGTCAAAATAAAGGTTTCATTTTACATATACTCTTCACTGTTGTGCATCCTGTGCATATAATGAATGTCCAGTTAAGCTAATTGCTTGTTCTTGCTTCAAGATTTGTGCCAATGAATGGTAGCTAAAAAACAAGCAAGTGGGCTCTTTTTGTAGTTTCGAGTTTGAAAGTCCCAAAACACAACTTGTTACACTTCCAATGGAAAAAATACTAATTGGTATTTTTATAATTGGGAGTCAGAAAACAGATGGTTATAGTTCCAATTGGAATACAACCAATTGGTTACGGTTCCAATTGAAAAAAAGGCCAATGGGTATTTCTCCAGTTGGGAGTCCGAAAACACAGATGGTTACAGTTCCAACTGGAATAGTACCTACTGGTAATGGTTCCATTTGGTAAAATGCCAATGGGTTTATTTCCCATTGGACAAATACCAATTGGTATTTTTCCAGTTGGGAGTCCGAAAACACAGATGGTTACGCCAGCTGGTACCAACTGGAAAAACCAATTGGACCCAATGGGTATTTTTAACTGGGAAAATACTATCTGATAGAGATCTGGTAAACAGGACGTGCAAGAACATAGCGAGTATACCAGCACATTCCCTAAAAATCCTGTTAGGAATGCCATCAGGACCGGGAGACTTATCGGGTTTAATTAAGTGACCACAGAAGCTTAACCAGTCCGTCAGAGTGGAATTCAATTTCCGGCATGTCACGCAACTGGTTTACTGCGTTAGGCACAGCCAAGTGCACCGCAGTTAACGGGGGAGAAAAAACTGATTGTAAGTATCTACTAAAGCATGTAGCTTTTGCTTGGTCATCGTGTATGGTCTGTTCAAGTTCCTCAATTGATGGTATGCCAACCTGGTCCTTCTTGTTGCTTTTTACCAGTTTCCAGAATTCTTTAGGGCTCCTTTTAAGACAATCACTTAAAGGCCGACGACCAGACTCGAGATTCTGCAAGGCAGAAGACCCTCCTCTCCACGCCTTCGGGCGAGGGAAGCGAAGGATGGAAAGAAGGGACCAAGAGGGGCGGGCGTGGGTGGAAAGGGTAGGAGGGAGAGGAGGAAGCGGGCGAAAAGTGGAAAGCGCGAACTGGTCGTCGGTCTTTAAGGCGCCCTGAAAAACATTTTTAGCTAATTTGAGTTTCCTTTTGTATAGTTTACTTAGGTCTCGTAACCGAGTAAGGGACGCGGCAATAGAAGTCCTGCGGAAAGTTAAGTATGCACGTTTCTTTTTCCTCAAAATTTGCCGTAACTCTTTATTTATCCAAGGTTTTTTTTTTTTTTTTTTTTTTTTTTGCTTTTTTGGAGAGATTAGCTTGTGTGGGATGTAAGTGTCGATTAAGGCAGTAAGCTTAGTTTTAAAAATGTTCCACGTAAAATTTGAAACATTTCAAGAATGTTGCCTATGTTCTTTTGAACATTTGCGGAATGACTCAAAACGTTTTCGTGCTAATTCTGCTGTGAGCCGAAATTCGCTTCCCAGAACCTCCACCGTCAAGCAGTCGGTGCTTCAAAGATTGTCGCTACTTGTAGGAAGCTCTTATCTAAGAACTTTAGTTATAACACCCCCCCCCTTTTTTTTTTTTTCCAAGATTCTTGTATTTTCAAAACGAGGACTGCACAGTCATGCACCATGCAAAATGCAAAAAACAACGTTTCTAATCAGTCGCCGTTTCTGACGAAGATGGAGGTTGGATTTCTCAAATCAGAGATCACTCTATCAGGGCGCGTTGGTAACAGTAATTAAACATGAGGAAGATACATAGAATGGGGGTACTGAAGGAAGTCATTGTTGTCCGTCCCCCCTTTCTATGTATCTTCCTCATGTTTAATGAATCCGTCAACCTGATGTCGTATTTATCTTTACGTATCTCTATCTTCCCTCCTTGCACTGGGCCCCTGTTAGCCACTTTCCCTTTCCTCGATTTTCCCGCATTTAAACTTGAGTATTTATCTTACCCGCTAGGCGGCGCAAACTACCCCCCGATGCAAAACGCGAAGACACTCGCATTTGTCTACCCATTAAGCTAGAGTTCGTGTTTCGCCGGCGTTGTTGGTTTCGCATGCGGTTTCGTAAGGAAAACCCCAGTGAGTCACCGACGTCCGTGCTTCTCGGGTCTGTTCTAAGCTTTCTTGGAGTTCCTATTTGCTAAGACTCCACGGCAGTATTCGTTTTGTATTCTCAGACTCCCTTCTGAAAAGGTGATGGCGGTACGTATTTATCCTCTGTAACTTATAAATGAAACGGTGTAGCGTGTTGGGGACCAAGTGCTTCTCGAAGACGATCACCGATTTCACACAACTCCAAATTGGGAGCTGTCTCCGTTGCCTGCCAAGACCGCTCGTGGCTCTGACTCCACCGTGATAAGCTAATAGCATTTGCTAATGAATCGAATCGGGATAAGAGTATCCGGATTAGTGTGTCGTTGCTCCTTCAGTCGGGCCCGCCCAGACCAAACATTATCTGCTGTATGATGAACCCCGCAGTTCAAATGCACAAAACGGGTGGCCCGCATTATTCGTTGTTGCAGCTAGCGCTTGTCCCTGACCTTTTCGTAGCCAAGTGCTCTTGTCTCCCCCAAGCTGTTGAATGAATAGCTGACTGGTCATTCTAACACTACGACCGAGTAGTTTTCCGGCATCTCATTCAATCGTTTCCTCATACTCGCGAAGACTGGCGAAAAACTCATTCTTAGAGAGTGTGAGTTGGTGAACGAAGTACACCTTTCCGTAAGAAAAATAGTCTCGTTTCAGCTTTAGTGTCATTTCCTTTTTTAGCGCGAGCTTGACCGAGGCTGCTTCTTTGAGACGCGTGATCTCTAGGCGTTGCTCGTACGATCCTTCACGCTTGGCTACCTTTTCTCTGCAGAACCCAAACGAGGACACGCAATGGAACGACGTGCTGAGGCAGAAAGGCATCCTCCCGCCCAAGAAGGAAGACACCGAGAAGGTCTTCACCGAAGACGAGATCGTGAACGTCGTCGAGTCGACGATTTACGAGAAGCTCAACGGTGAGTGGATCTCCAGGCTTGGCAGGAAGTCTCCTAGCGAGGAAACGCCCTGATCAGCGGCTTTGCCAGAAAATTGGCGACTGGGGTGGTCAGGATTACCATGACTTGAGAGGTGGGCCGGGGGAGGGGTGTCCCGGTGGTCGTACTCCCGCTCTAGAAAGGTAGGGAGGTCTTCCTGTGGTCCCACCTGTGGTAGGGGTCGCAACCATTAGGTTGTATATATATGAGGGAGTAAAGAGGTAGATGAAATTACTTGTTTGGTTCCATCCGGACAGGTAATTTTAATTTCATCCGGACAAGCAATCTTGTTTGGTTCCATCCGAGATGGCCTTGATGGTCGCCGGTCTCTAGATGGTGTCAGAAGTGAGCGGCTAGCGCCTTCTCTTTTTTCAAGCGCCAGCACCAGCCTAGGAGGAGACCGCCATGGCCGAAGGGGAGGGCGCCGCTGCCGGTCCGGGAGCGTTGCCAGTCAGTGCACTCAATCTACGAGCACGGCCCCAGTTTGACTTCAGCAACCACGGAAAATGGAAACTGGTATCAGCAGTTCGAGGACTATGTCTACATGTCGGGACTGTACGCCGCCAGCGACAAAGTGCGTGTTCAGATTACTATACTCCATGGGGCCGCAAGCGCGGGACATCCTGACTTTGCTACACGTCGACGACTGAGACTTTGACAGCTACGGTCTGATTGCTGAGAAGTTCAATGCATACTTCGTTCACCCAGTCAATGAGCTCTACGAGAGCACACGCTTCCACAGACGGTTGCAGCAAGCGGGTGAGTCAGCTGACTCCTTTTTTACGACACTCAGCAACATGGCAAAAAAATGTAACTACCCGTCGCGAGACGTGGAGGAGCGGCTCATTTGCAACCGTTTTGTGGTGAGCTTGCGAGACATGAAGCTATCGGACAGACTATGCAAAAACACGGAGCTTACATCGGACGAAGCGCTCATTCAAGTTTGCCAATGCAGAAAGGGAATGGAAGCTGCAGGACTCGTCAGCATCCACAGCCATGGCAGCTTCAGCAGAAGCAAAGCGTTAAACATTGACAGACCAAAAGTTGTGAAGAACCGCCTGCCAAGGCCGAAGCAAGCAAGTGGCAACCCAGCGAGTACATCTTCATGCGGCCTTTGCGGACGTTCTCCGCATCTGCGCTCAGAGTGCCCTGCTAACCATGTGCAATGCAGCAAGTGCCACAAGAAAGGATACTTCGCAGCTGTCTGCTGCACCAAGAATAAGTTGGCTTCGCTGGAGCTTGGTGTCATCCATTCTCCTCCCAAGGCAAGGGCGAAGTTTGTAGATGTGAAGGTCAACAATGTACTGCTGAGCTTCAATGTTGACAGCGGTGCGGAAGTCACCGTCGTCTCCCTTATGTGTTCGGGAAAACCAGCTCGCCTGGAGCCCCCAGAGGGGGAGTTGACAGGACCCGCCGGCCAACTGTTGGACGTGCTAGGAACGTTCGTCGCGGCCTTGGAATGGAAAACCAAGCGCGTCAGGCAGAAGCTCTACATGGTACGATCGCAAGTTGTTCCCTTGTTGAGCTTGCCGGCAATTCAGGTGTTGGTCGTGGTCAAGTTTGTGGATCACCTTCCAGAGTCTTATCCCGAAAGCTGTCCTAGTGAGGTCGACGGGACTTTGTTGACACAGCTTGTCCAGGGCCCAGGCGAACTTCGGGAGCAGTACACTATTTGTCTTTAGCCGAACGCGGTACTGTACTCGCTGCATGTTCTGCGAAGGGGGTCCCCATCCCGCTACGTGATGTCGTGAAGTCTGAACTAGACAAGATGGAGGCCCAAGGCATAATCTGGAGAGTAACCAAGCCGAGACCGGGGTGCGCAGGCATGGTAGTGCTGCCTAAAGCTTCAGGGAGCTACCGCATATGCATGGACCTGACTCGACTGAACCGGGCAGTGCTGCGTGAACGTCACATCCTGCCGAGAGTGGATCAAGTGCTTGGACTTCTGGGCGAGGTGCGAGTCTTCTCCAAGCTCGACACCATGTCGAGTTTTCACCAAGTGAAGCTGTTAAGTGAGTCCCAAGAACTCACAACGTTCATTACGGGGTTTGAACGGTTCTGCTTTTGTCGGTTGCCTTTCGGGATTACCTCTGCGCCAGAATATTTTCAACGCCAGATGTCATACATCCTGGAGGGCCAAGATGGAGTTGTCAATATGATTGATGACATTCTCGTTTTGGGCCGAGATCATGTGGAACACGATAAGCGTCTCGCAGAGGTTTTTGACTGCTTAAAGGAGGCAGGTCTGACTCTGAACAGGTCCAAGTGTAAGTTCGGCGTCACCAGTGTAAAGTTCCTTGGCGTGGTCGTCAGCCAGAATGTTATTATGCCAGACCCTGAGAAGATGGAGGCTGTACAGCACATGGAACCACCGGTTGACGTCGGAGGTGTCCGCAGACTGTTAGCCATGGTCAACCACATAGGTAGGTTTTTGCCACATCTGTCGGACGTCACAGCACCTATTCGAGAACTGCTGAGCAAGAAGAGTTTGTGATTCCGGGGACCAAGCCAGCAGGCTGCTTTCCTCAAGCTCTTAGACTTTGTATGGCTTGCTACAATCCGGAGCACCCGACCATAGTGTCTGCTGACTGCAGCTCTTTCGGTCTTGGAGCAGTCCTGCTCCAGGACCAACCATCTGGCGAGTGTCAAGCGGTGGCCTTTGTTTCACGGTCCCTCACTGCAACCGAGCAAGGGTACAGCCAGACCGAAAAGGAGACTTTGGCAGTGACATGGGCCGTGCGTCGCTTTGATGAGTACGGTCGGGGACTGCGGTTTACAGTGGAAACCGATCACCAGCCCTTGACTGCGTTGCTCGGCGACATGGACGTAGACCTTCTTCCTCCACGAGTTCAGTGACTGAAGATAAAGTTGATGTGGTATCAGTACCAGATCTTATACGTTCCTGGGAAGCTCCTGGCAACGGCCTACACCCTGTCTTGAGCGCCGTAGTGCCGAGCAGCTCCGTCAACCTGCGACAGCCTAGAGCTGTACGGCCAGAGCGTGGTTCACGCAATCTATGAAGGTGCGCCCGTCAACCTCGAGGTGGTCCGTCAACAACAGTCAACAGATGGCGAGTTCACAGCACTTGCAAAGTTCTGCGACCAAGGTTGGCCTCAGAAGACCAAGGTTCCATGTCACCAAATGAAGTACTGGAACTACCGCGGAGAACTAACCGTTTGTGACGGTGTGCTTCTCAAAGGAGGACGCCTCGTGATTCCTGCATCACTGCAACCTGAGGTCCTGCAGGCCATTCACGAGGGACACCAAGGAGTGAACCAATGCAAGGCACGGGTTCGAGACTCGGTGTGGTGGCCCAGTATCGGCGATCAAACAAAACCATAATCGAGAAGTGCGAGCGCTGCGCATCTACGAGGGTACTGCGGGCTGAACCTCTCATGACATCGCCTCCAACAGAGCTACCTTGGCAACAGGTGGGAGTCGATTTATTTCACTTGAACAGCTAAGATTTTCTACTGTTGGTGGACTATCACTCATGTTATCCCGAAGTAATGACACTACGAAGCATGTCAAGTCAAGCCGTGATCTCTGCAGTAAAAAGTGCCACGGCGCGTTTCAGGATTCCGGAGGTACTTCGAAGTGACAACAGACCACAGTTTGCCTCCCACAACTTCGCCAGATTTGTGGAAGACTACGGATTTAAGCACGTCGCTAGCAGTCCTGGATTTCCGCAGTCAAACGGAGAAGTGGAGCGTACAGACCGGACTGTGAAGGACCTCTTGGTTAAAGGCGACGATCCGTTTTTGTCACTTCTCGTCTATAGAGATACTCCAGGCATCTTGGGTTTCAGCCCTGCTCAGCTGCTAATGGGTTGACAGCTGCGGATTCAAGTATTTAAGGCTGCCAAGAAACTCCAACCAGCATGGCCGAAGTCACAGGTCTTTCTGGAGCGAGACAGCGCGGCGAAGCGACGCCAAGCTTCCGACTTAAACCGTCGTCACGGAGTGCTCAAGCTCGGGGAACTTTCACCTGGCGAAGATGTGTGGGTGACCGACGCACAGTGCCCTACCCAAGTGCTTAGCCGAGCGCAACGCCCACGCTCTTACGTCGTCGAAACTCCACAGGGTGTATTGCAGAGAAATCTGTGACACTTGGTTCCTTCAGGAGCCAACCTATGGAGCCAGCTCCGGTTTTGGCAGTTCCTGCTGCCGATGGAGCCAATGGCCTGCAATCCCAATGTTATGAACAAAGAAGACTGGTTACAGCTCCTTCTCTGCAGCCTTCTGACTACGAAGCTATGCAGAGCCAAGGGCAAGTCGGAGAGCTGATGCAAGTCGGGCATCAGCAAACGTGTGGATCCACTCTCTTTGACGAATGAGATCTGGCCGTCGAGTAGTAGCTCCAAAGAGACTGAACTTGTAGTGAGGTCGTGCATTGTGATTTGTTCATCCACGAGCGATCTCTCTGACAAAGGGGGATGTTGTGGTAGGTGTCGCTACCATTAGGTTGTATATATATGAGGGAGTAAAGTGGTAGACGAAGTTACTTGTTTGGTTCCACCCGGACCAGGCGCGTGTGTGTGTTCATTCCTCTTGGACCTTGACGGTCGCCGGTCTCTACACCACCTCCAGCACAAGCTTTCCACTTTCAGTAGCACTTGGGCACTTTATTGGCTTTGAGTATGCACATACAGCCGGAACATGATGGAAGGCAACGAGTGCATGCTGGAAAAGATGCCCTGTCATTCCCACCCTGTCCGTTCCTGTCCAATTCGGCACTTGGGTGCACTGCAGCCTTTTGGCATAGCGACCGAGCGATCGATCACAAACAGTGTAAACACTACTCGAGTAGCCAGAAAACGAAAGCCTGCTCTGCAAAGAAAGCACGACCAGGAACAAACCCGTTCAGCAGACGACGCTATGGATTGACTGCGCAGGCGCAGTCGGGTCTTTCTCTTGCTTCGTTTACCACACGATAGATGGCGCTTGGCTCTGAGCATTACCAAGTTCGGCAATTTTCGTCACATCTCTAATTATGGTACACAATGTAGACCTGAATATTATTTGACAAAACTTTTAGGGAACATTCGCCGGCTACTTATTGTTAATGATTGTGGTGCTAGGTAGGCTCTTACCCAATAGGCGACGTGGATTTGGTTGAGGGGCTGCGGGTCCACAGGTGCATCGGAGTGAAAAGGGAGATAGCTTTCGATGGAAGCAAGGTGTAAAAGAGTTTGGTTTCCTTTTAAAAGTTTTATAGCGAAGAATCATTTTTTGGCCCTCTATTTTTGTGTTTTTGGGTTTCTTTTCACACCTTTTACGACGTGCGGTCAATGAAGTTTGTTTTCAAAGTCGTTTCATGGTCCCTTTAAATAACTTTGTTTTTCGGGGAAAGTGCAGCTTGTGACGGTGTCCAATCAAGGCAGACAGACAGAAAAGTTTCTGGCAAGTGAAGTTAGTCAGAAAATGTTTATTGAAGCTTATGGAGAGTGCATGCCTAAGAAAAGTAAAGTGTCCCTTAAAAAATATTTTATTTCTGTATTTATAAAAAGAATAGTGGTAATACCGGTAACAATCAAAATAAAAAAACTGCCTTTTGCACACCACATGTCTGTAAAATATATAGAAAGAAACTTGCGTCGTCATCGCCATGTACAATTAACAAAAAATTTTCCCTCTTTTTGTCTTTCTTAAGTTAATTGTTTTGCGTGGAAGGTTAAAAACATTGTTCCAGTGAATTTTGAATTATGGCTCTGCTGTCCTGAACTGCTGAGTTCCTAGTCTGCCCGTTAAATGTTGCCCCACTCGTTTCAGGTACCCAGAAAGCTATTGAGGACCTGAGCTTGGAAGAATTGGAGGAACTCGAGGATGAAGAAGACGAACGGGCCCTCTTGCACTACAGGTGAACGTCTTTACAAACTGAAAGCGATACGGCAATACAACTCTTTGAGCCTAATTTATTGTTTCAGTGTTGTCTGTGTTGTGGCAACACCACAGGGACGCCAATTTCTTTTGTTCAGGCAGACTTAAAAACCTTGCTTCAAAACAAATCGAGCAGTCACCAAATTGCACCTGGTGGATGTCCTCTAAGCTACTAGGAATGTTGTTACGTCAACTGTCTCGTAAAAGCAACGCCGCTCCGGGAAAGTATGTTGCCAAGGTGTGCATGTGCACTGCCTGTCAAACTTGGACGAACCAAAGCGGAAGGGAGACGGTGGGGCTGCGAGACTGAAACAAGGGGGTCAGGGGAGTTCTGGAGCACGGGCGACTCACTTCTTTACCTCCACTTCCACCGCTCAACCATTCCTTGGGCGTCCCAACTGGCTAGGTTGTGATGTAACTAGGATTTCGTGTTTTCAGAGTTTATTTCTTGTGATATTCGGAGGGTGTTTTCTGGAGTTCATTTTTTACTGAAAATTCTGTATTTTTTGGAGTTTATTTTTTTTGCTCAAAATTTTCTGTTCGTCGGAGTTCATTTTTATTAGATTCCCATTTCTCTGAAATTCAAATTGTATTTTACTTTATTCCCAATTTTTAAAAAAAATCAAGGACAAAATAAATGAAGTTTGGGTACCGTGACCCGTTGTCCTGGGGGAACCTTGACAGGACTAAAACTTTTATCAGTAGTTCGAGATTTCAAAGGAAACTGAAGTGGTGTCTTCTCAGGACCACTGACTCTGTGCTCTTATAAAGCTTATTTCAGGGGTGGAACGGCTGCGCCATTTTCGCCATTTTGTGCCAGACGCATGTGTCTGTGCCATCGTGCGCCATGTTGCTGAAACTGCGCCACAGCCAATACCTCGCGCCATTGTGCGCCAGATCGCAAAACATGCGCCAAAAAACTTAATTTTGTCTTGGTTTCAGTTTTATTGACTCGATTCGCAACAATGAGCGCGTTTAGCCTGGTCGGCCTTGCAATCCCTTGTTCTGTTTATTCTCTGTATGTATCCCGAGTAGGAAGCGCGCGAAAAAACTTGGATTCTAAGTCTACACCACCTGCGACTGGATTGTTATTCTTCAACCATAAGCGGTTAAGCAAGTCGGCCGAGGTGTGGTCGAGTCGTTAAGCGTCGGATTGCCTGAGGCTTTTTGGCCCGGGATCCGGACACCAGCCAGTTGAAAACAAATGAGCAAAATATTCCTTTTAGTACCTCATCGTTAGAAGTTAGAACCGCATTCTCGCTGGATAAATCGTGATTTGATAGAACTGAAACGCGGTCCGATCCGAATACATGATGGGGAAAACAGCTCAGAAAACACGGACTACAAAGAGGAACAAACACGACAGGACAATGCTGTTTGTTCCTCTTTGTAGTCCGTGTTTTCTGAGCTGTCTTCCCCATCATGTATAGCGTCAACCAACTGGCCCAGTTCTCCACCCTATTCCGATCCGAAACCTTGCCGGCCAGCAGCTCTTAAGCGAGTGGTAGATCTACTCGGCGTCCATTAACCTTGCTCCTGCTTATTGCTTCAAATACGATAACTTCGTTAAAGGGCAACTCCAGGCCATACTTTCGATTTTGGGATTATGACTGCTTTTACTGCATTCAGCGTCCCTGATTTGGAAGGTGTAATTTTTTTCTCGTTATTTTGCGTAGTATTAAAGATACCGACGCCTCAAAGTTTTATTTGGTGCGCGGCCAACAAAACCGAAACTAGCCGCTCGAGGCCCCGGCAACACTGGAAATCAGCCGCTATGTGAACGTGACGTCAGGATCGTTCTCGTTCAACGAGTATGCAGGCCAAGCGGCACCTACCTCTGTTGCGCTAGCCGTCTAAAGATAGGAGGTAAGCTGATTTTATTTTAATTCTATATACGTGGTAGTTATCCAGCATATGTAGCAAGAGTTAGTGTGTATACAACTGGAGAACCCGTAAACTCGTACGGCGCCGTACTCGGCGGCCGCTGCCGTGCGTGCGCTATGCCGTACTCGTCGCTTGTATACCCAAAAGCTAGCGACTGGAGAACGAGTGAACTTGTTTGGTGCCGTACTCGGCAGCTATCGCCGTGTGTGCGGTCTTCCGTACTCGTCGCAAGGCCTAAATTGTCATCGGGGCTCCGTGGATGGAGCGGCGTTGCTCTACGCCGCGCTGCCAGTGACGTACAATACTGGGAGCCCTCTCGCTTTCGCGCTGCGGGTCAGTCCCAAACACAAAGCTTTGAGGCCCTTTGGCGCGGGCCGCGGCGCCCGAACACACGTCTGTTGGGCTGTATACGTCTGTTTTTTCGTTCTTTTTTCCTCGGGCGCATAAAAGCCGAAGTCCACTCGTCGAACAGCATTCACCCACACCTTCTCCGATTTCCAGTCCGTTGGAAACTTGTGAAAAAGCACCTCCGGGTTGCGCAGCGGGTTGTTTGAGCAGCCCACAGAGCTACGAGTTGCACTCGGCATCTTTCGAGGAACAGCTGGGCAGTCTTGGGCGCACCGAGTTGCTCGCTAAAAAGTCTTGGAGTCCTCAAAAACAAATAAACAAAAGGCTATACCAAAGCTACACAGGCTACAGATAAAAGCTACGGCTAAACACGCCAATCACAAGCCGAAGTAGCGGTGGTAGCGGCTCAAAGAAGTGCACCCCGCACAACGCCCGGACCGGAGGAAAAAAGAGAATGATGCTGACGTCACGGCCCAATGTTGCTTTAGCGATCGGCAACCCACTGGCCGCCCGCTAAGGAGCAGCGGCTCGCGGCGGGTCGCATTTTTATTATTTGCATTAGTTGAGAATGCGGCGTCCCACGGGCATAATATTTTGGCTGGGGTCGTATTTTGTGCCATTACAGCGATACCAGTACTTTATTTCATTCTGAGTTTTGGCCGGAGTTGCCCTTTAATCATAGTCTGCTGCTTCGATATCGAGTTGCACTATAGGATAAACTCGAAATTTTTTGCCCTGTTCTTCCGTGCAACTGCACAACCGTTGCTTACGCAGGTCACGTGGTTTGCACAAACAATTACTATGTCGAGCACGTGTGGTTTGCAGTGCTGGTTTGCATTTTGAGCAGCTGAAAGCCACTCAGAAAATATCAAGGACGCTATCTTCAGAAACATAGGGTACTTGATTTTTGATTCTCATTAAGGCTCACGAAGTTTCAAGTTTTCGCATCTGTTACACTGTTATCCCATCCACCTGGATCCCTAACAACTTATGTTCGTCTGTGCCGCTAAGCACGGTTGAAATTGCTCCCATGCTTGTCTAAGACACAAGCTGAAGTGCAATGAAAACTGATCGGAGCTGCTCGTAGCCTGCTCCAGAATGTAGTTTTAGCTGCTCCCAACCTGCTTCAAAACTGCTGTTTCAGCTGCTCCTGTGGCTGCTCCCAAGTACATTTCATGAGTTCCACCCCTGTTATTTGTAAAACGACCTCTTCTGCTTTTTTTTTGTCGTTGCGACCACGAAATTATTACTTTTCCGGATAAATCCCGAAGTGACGAAAAACTTACCGGCAAGTGTTTTTCTGACTTTTTCCGATTTATCTGAAAACGTGGAAGCCTAGCTGTGACGCGTTGACGCCGCCGATTGGCGGAGCTCGTAACCATGCTAGCATCTCCATAGCCCTGCCCACGCTGGGACAATCAACGCCGGGAATTTGTCGTGTCTCCTGTGACGAGTGATCTCCAAAAACTGCTCTTCAAGCGTTTGTCAGGATCGGTCGTTTAGAACTAAAGATATAGCCATCCACTCAATACACAAACGTGCAATTGTCTCTTGCGGGTACTGTTGATCATATTTAGTTAATTTCTGAACGTGAGAGGTATATTGAAATTTTTGTTTCAGTTTTTCTTTAACACACTTGTAAAGTGTGCCTATGCTTCTTAAGCATGGTAGTATGCACGAGCATCGTTGCAGTAACAGGTGTGTGCGAAGTATTTTTCCCAACTGCGAATAATTCTGGCCAGGGCTACCGGGTCTCGCGGCCCATTTTAACTGGGCAGTGTAGTTGGTTAGATAGGTGGTGCCACCTTGCGCAGAATTCTCGCAACTAACGTACGGCCCATTGCCGTAATCTTCAGACTCAATCTCAAGCTGAAACGTCCGAGTGCCCCGCCAAACTCGCAACACGGCGCTCGTGTCCGGTGGTTTGGTGTCGCAGACTTCTCAAAGTTGCTTTTTAATGCGAAAGCATTAACTGGCCTCATGGAGCGAGCCAATGTCATCAGCTTTGAAACCATGCAAAACGGCATCTTAATGAAATCACGTGCAAAGCTAGCCAACGGCACCTTTTGCACTTCGGTCCCATTGGCTGGCGCGCGTCAACGAGGCTCCCATTGGCCGCTGCACGTCAATTTGTGTAATGTCATCCTGTGTTATCACTGATAACCGTGTTTGCTCGCCTCTTATCAGTTGTACGGAGCGTGGCAATATACATGGCACATGGAATAAACCAAGGGGTTCGTTCTACTGGGAACTATGTTGCTGTCTGTTCCTTCCTCACGCCGCCAGGCACACGACAGTTTAAACGATCGCTCACCCGATGGCGCTGCGTGTCCGCGAGGCAGCGGCTCCACCGTTTTATGCCCAAGGTCAGCCCGTCGTACGCTGCGGATTAAAGAAGGGAGCGAAGTGGGGCGTGCATGCTTTTGCATTCACAACTGATAAGAAGTGCTTAGGTGTACCGCGAGCCTTTTTTGACCACCGACCATGTCGACTCGCGGCCGACCGAGGCACCTCCTTTTCACTGCCCGGGATTATGCCATCGATCGAAAGCCCTTTTGCAATTTTTACTTACAAAGACACCGGTGAAATGATCTAAAGGGAAGCTGCAACCGAGCATTCTAACTCTGTCGTCTTGAGGCGAAGCGCCGACCTACGTACCCCCGGGTGTCCAGTTCGAATCCCCTTCGAGGTGCCCGCAATCCGACGTACCTCAGTGGTCGTAATTGATATTCGGGTCCCTGGGTGTTCTAAATTAATCATCGGTCCTCCGCCGTCCCGAACCAGACGCCATTCATTGGTTTGGCACACCCCTAATTTGATTGGAGATGGAATCTTCATCGCATTGATCGAACCTTAGTATGTGGTAATTTCGCAGAGTTTGTGGCTTTTCCCGAACATGAGGTACTAGTTGTTAGGATGGAGCACAGCATTTTTTGTAGTTTTCTCCGAAGCTCTCCTTTTGAGAAAGACTGAAAGATTAAAGGGAGACAAGCAGAGACGTATGCATATGTCTATGCTTGTCCCCCTTAAATGTTTGATTCTTTCTTTGTTTCTTGCCTACAGCACACTCCCCATATCTACCTCTCCTTTTGCGTCGCCACCGTGGTGCCCGGAACACATCCTTGACCGGTGTGTCTTACCCTGTTCTGAAAAGGGGTGCCTAGATTTCCGCCCAGAATGTGATGGAAGCGTCACGCTGTCGCCGACCACAATCTTGGCTGTGTCGCTGCAGTGGATGTGGCAGGTGCCCGTTTTTCTGCAGGGCATCCTCCGGCTTGACAGTCCATGCAAACTTTGGCAGCCGGAAGTTCGGACGCTGTGACAACGGCAGTGCTCAGATTTGCTCGCACCTTTTTGCCAGGAGTTCTGGTGCTGACCGCCGCCGGGGTCACGACATCCGACGACGTGTCGCGCCGGCTCCTGCGACGTCGTTTGTTGCCACTTCGGGACCGAATTTTATATGTGGGTGGGACGGGACACTAAACACGCCAGTTGCGGGCGTGTTCCAAGCACTGTAGTTGCCACTCGTCTGCACCGTTTTGCTGTTTCTTGCACAGGGGTTGCGATGTCGGAACGAAAAGCTCTTATTGGCACATTGAAAAAACAAAAATAGTGGGTAGACATTGAGGCATCTAGCATAGAGGTCTACCCACTATCCTTCCAATCAAATCCAATTAGAGCCCGGCGTAGTTCTGCCGTCACCGCAACTCCTGCGGAAGAAGCAGACGGCTTGCTCTCCACATTGCAGTTTCACGTGCCTTGACGTTGTGAGCTCCGATGTCCCACAACGACTGTAACAGGTTACAGCTGTTTCTATTCGATCCTAGTTCCATTTGTCCCCTCCTTCCGAGCTTTCTTTTATTTTCTAGCTGAACATTTCAAGCTTCTCTATTTGGCCTCAACCTTTTTATTTTCTTCTTAATAAAAAAAAACAAATGCCCTTTGGTGTATTTGGCTGAATACCCTTGCCTTTTCACCTAGGAAGATTTTTCCTCATAGGTGTCATAGGTGAAATTGAAAAACATAGTATTTCGAGCGTAGTAGGCTTATTTTGTTTTTAAATACTTGTCACTCGTTATAGACCTACACACTGTTTACAAACAACCCGTGTTTGGCAACACCAGATGTAAGCACTGCGCGAGCGCAGGAACCAGATTCGTGTGAGGTGAAGCTTCTGTGCATGCACCATGGCGACAACAGCGCCACCACAGAGGCATGATATCAGAGCCGCGTGTTGGTGTATACTTGCAGGGCGGCATAGTCTGCATCAGGCTAAATTTGTGTGCCCCGCGAAACGGTGTTTCAATATTTGTTCTGCTTTTCTTTTTAATTTGTGCCAATTAACTCAAGAGGCATCCAGAAGTTCCCAGGCGAAATTTTCAACTGGGACCAATTGGTCCCAGTTGGTGTTGTCCAACTGGTCCCAGTTCGAGTTGGTCCCAGCTGGAATTGGTCCCAGTTACAACCGGTCCCAGTTGGAGTTGGTCCCAGTTACCGCTGGTACCAACTCCAGCAACAATGAAACACGGCACAAAATGGAAGGTTGACAAGACTTTATTGTCAAAAACTTGGAGAATGAAACTAAATAACAGGTTCGGCGACGTACACGCTCCGGGTTTAACCACTTGCTTGCGACACTTGAATCGCTTTTTCAGAGGTAGCATTCGTGAGATGAAGGAAGATTGGCCGCTGGCGTCTGTTAGTGAAGACGTCCTCAGTTTCTCTACCCATCGCGTGAAGAAAGGTGCTCACCCGTGATCCCGCATTGCGCAGGTGAAGTCCTGATAGGATGCGGTAGCGCTCCTACCTTGCAAGCTCTGTCACAACAGTCGAACATTTTTGAGGTAGATCTCCCGCCATTTTCGCCATTGTGCTCTCCGCGGCATTTTCTTCCGTCCGGTCTTTCCAGCGTGCCCTCCGATCGCTGAACTGCATCTTTCCATCCTCGAAGTTCACCGCCGCCACCATGGTGTGCTTACAGTTAAGTCCAAAGAAGCGCAGCTGTAGTTCTGACATTTTCATAACGACGCCAACTTGGGCGATGGCGACCCTTTTCTACCGCGTCCGTCCAACTCCGCCGTCTGCATAGGCAGCGCCGTCTGTCGACAGCGCATACCACAATTCCGCACCCGCGTGCCACGGCGGCCGGCTAGCTCTGATTGGCCAAAAGATAAATTTATTTATTAAAAGAATAAAGAAAAAAAAGCACTGTAGGTGTTCAAATAAATGTTTTAATATTATTTTAATGATGCACTAAATGTTCATTTAGGTGAACATATTTTGTCACTAATCATATTTTCCAATTAAAAAATTATTTAGTTAATTAAAATTTTTATATTATTTTTATAAATATATAAATGTACCCAGTAATTAAAAATTTCCCTATTTGTACAAATCTATAAATTTAAGTGTTTTTAGTTTTCTTCATTAGTAAAGGTCAATACACCCCCAACTTGTCCAAATTCTTGCCCTGTGTGAACTGAGAATGGGAAAGGCATTTGAAGTCCGACTGGGAATCGCTCCAACCACTTACTTTCCTAACTGGTTCCAGGTCAGTCCATTCCCAACTGGGAGTCAAACCAGTTGACCCCTCAGCTGGTCCCAGTTGGACTCCTATTGGTCCCAGTTCATTCCCAGTTGGTACCACTTAGTCCCAGTTGAAACCAGTTGACGTGGCAACTGGTCCCAGTTAGAAATTTTTTGCTTGGGTTGCTGTTTCTATAATGGGACGATCTATTTGTGACAAAAACCATGTCTGCCTATGGACAACAATTGTCTTTAAACCTCGTATGAGCCCTTAAATTCTCATATTCATAGAAAATCTGTTTGGTAGTCCCAGTTTCAAAATTCATTTGCTCATGAAGGTGACAGAGACATTTCCATTCCCAATTATTTTATCACAAAAAAGTAGTCCACAAAACTTACTATACTTCGAGTCGTATTGGCACGCTGAGTTCCGTCTTTTTGAAGCTTCACGGGTTGATTTTCTAGCCTTTCTCCTTCCATTGTGTGTTTTCAACTTTTTTAGAAAAATTTACTTTCTGATACAGTGACAAAGCATTGCAGAAAGTGCAGTTGAGCTTGCCTTTTCTTTTGCCAATTTTAGTCGAAGAAGTAAGCTGAAACCACAACTGTTTCCCAACTCGATGTGCATGTGTCTGCCATTTTAAAGAGCCCCGTCACGACATTGGGTGTTCGACACGGAGCACGGCCGGTTGTGGTAACGCACGTGGCTAGTAGTGTTGCTCTAGCCGTGACTACGGAATGGGGTCACGACGCCTACAAGTAAGTCAGTGTTATTGAGAAAAGCGACGACGAAGGGTTGGTTGCAGACGTCGGTAGCACTCTGACCTAACCTGGTTGTGCTTGCCCGTGCGTTGCGGATGCAGGCAGATGCGGTTGGCGGAGATCCAGGCGACGCTGCAGAAGTCCCGCTACGGCGACGTGAGGGAGATCTCCGCCGACGACTATGTCGAGCAAGTCAACAAAGCCGGGGAAGGCGTCTGGGTCGTGCTGCACCTGTACCAGCCAGGGTGAGTTAGGATTGCATGTGAAGCGTGACACGGGTTTTTGAACTGGGTTCCTGGTGTTCCGAGCGAGGTGCGGAGTCCAGATCGAAGGTCCCTGGACCTAGGCCACGGCATAAGGTATAAAAAGGTATGGACACCACGCGCGTTGCAGCTGCCAGATGGAGTCCTCTCCTCAGCTCGGTTGCGAGCAACGCCGCCAGATGGCCCTTTGATGGGCCATCTGGCCCATGGCCCTTTGATGGGCAAGACCGGTGAACGCCAGATGGCTCTTTGATGGGCAAGACCGGTGAGCGTGTTGCAGTGTTCACTCCGAGATCTCTGGCGAGTAGTCAACAGGGTGCGCGTCGTTGGCTTGCCACGCCAGTTGCGAGATGGCGCCACGAGTTCATAGCGTCGGTAACTTGGTCGTCTGCGACCGTGCGTAACGAAAGCTTTGCCATGCTTTTTTGCTTTCATTTTTTTACGAGAAGCGAACTGCCCCTCAAACTTTCCCGCAGTAAGACTGATCTGCTCGGCGCACATTCAATGAAAAATTTAGCTTTCTATATGCCGGCGTCGATTTTTTCTGGCTTGTTTTACAGCAGAAGGTCCGCCTGGGACACTGTATATAATTGTAACTGAAGCATGTCTGCCTATAAGAGTGAGGAAAATTGTGAGCCTGTCGTTTTAACTGAGAGAGGGAGGAATCGCCTATTCATAAACACAAAGAGGTCAACCTGCATTTAGAGCTGATTTGCTACTTATGAACGCCACTCAGCGACTGCCCTTTGCACACGAGTGCAAAGCGGGGAAGCCCAGCACTCGCGCTGGTGCAGAACAGTGAAACCTGACACGATGCACGATTCCGAACTCCAAGCTAAACAAAACTAGCACGGAACCAGTGTAACAGAATGAACAAACGGAACTGTACATAACCGCTGTGCTTGCGTGCATCGGACAAAGAGACGGAAAGAGGAAACGGGCGATTGCAGAAACCTAAATTTCATTCGAGTCTTTTCAGGGTCATGTCAGCTTGGGTGAGATGCGCAGACAGAGAACAAGGGTGTCTACCAACCTGGAAGACCGGGAATCGTCGGGGAATTTTTACTTTAATCGGCATCGGTCAGGGAAATTGAGGTTTCCTTTACCTGAGCGGCAGCAAAAGACACGTGCATTGTACAACGCACCTTGAGAGCAACTCAGCCCATGTGCCAATGCAAATCTCCACTCGGGAACTGTCTCTGCCGCTCAGACAAGAACGCCTTGAAGTTCGTCTCGAAGTGCTTTGACATAAAAACTGCACTTCATACGTGTCCCGTCTTCTTAGGAGTCAGTGAGGGAATTATGACAAAGTTGTCAGGGGAAACCTGAAAAAGTTGAAATTTTAAACCATCGTTTTGGTAGACACCTTGGAAGAGGCAAAGCAGCTAAAAAGAGGGGGGCGGAGTAAAAGGAATAAGGTGGCTGCGGCCCAACGGGCCTGCATATTGCTTTAGGTGGCAGTTTTGGGACGTAACAGCCAAGAAGGCAAATGCAACAAAGAGGACATTCACACACATATCTTTACGGGAGTGCAGCAGGACCGGTGGTCGCAAGCGCAACAGCCAGGAAAATGCAGTAGCCTAGAAAGTATAGACAAAGTTCTGCTTATAGCAGATCTGAGCCTAGCTACCGTAAAATCCCGTAGGGCGCCCACCCAAAATGAAGAGATAATTAGTGAAAAACGTGAGGTGAACAATCACAAATATTTAGCCAGAAAAACGGGATGGACGGTGTCTCGGGGGGAGGCGCCCTTATGAGCTTTTACGGTATGAGCCAAATGCTCCTTAATATATACGGTGATCCAAGTCACCAGGCTTGATCTAAAATGGACCGTAAGAATCGACGCCTGCACATAGAAATCTAGACTTTTCGTTAAAGGTGTATTTTACAGGTCGGTTTTTTCTTGTAAAATTAGGAAGCACATTCGCTTTCTGTGAAAAATAAGGCCAAGAGACTCCAGGGCCTACGGCGGGCGGCGACACAGATGACCAAGTCGAGTAGCGGGGTGTTTTTGGCATTCATATTGATAGATGGCGCTACCTCCTTATCGTGACGGCTCTTAACCATTGTGGTTTATTAAAATGAATTTAATCTTCTGGAAATGTACCTTTAATTAAAAAATTAATGTGGACAATAAAAGCAAGACTTAAAGTTAAAAAAAAAAGTGTCTGCATAACGTCGGGGCTTTTGCTGCCAATGGATTTTATCTGCGTGTCGTCTACTTTCTTTTGCTGGTCAACTACACCTTTGGACGCTGCTCCCGACGCTATCAACACGAACGCCAAACACACCCCACTACTGCACTTGGTCGTCTGGCTCATCGCCCACCGTAGACCCTGGCTAGTTTTTTGGCCTTATATTTTACAAAAAGAGAGCTACGCTTTGTAATTTTACAATAAAAAGCCAAGCTGTGAAATACACAAGAAGTAACAGGAGGTTACTTTTTGGGGATTATTGGTGTATACTGAAAGCACAAAACCCTTCATTTTATTTACTTTTGAATCGTGATAAAAAAAAACTGCAAAAACACCTCTGGATCCATATTCTGTTTGGCTAGAAGTCTGATCCATTCAGTAACAAATGTGATCATGAATGCAGGGGTTTTCGGCCCTCTCGCTTGAGCCAAACAAATAGGCCTAAATGCTAATGTATTAGACTCACTTGTCGTATTCATATGAAACTGCGTAATTGTAATGAACGTCCCGCATTCTTTAGTGACGTTGCGGGCTTTCCATATTTCAGTTCCCAAACACCGTATCATTTGCTGTCTTAATGCACTGCGAGATAATGGGACGTTGAAATTGTTTAACGGGACATCTATTGCGATTCTGCCCCAATTGCAAAAATATATTTGTGGTAACGGTGTATTAGTTACTAAAATGTTGCGCATCGTGATAGTTTGATAATCACAGATTAAGAGGACCTCTGGCGATTTTCTGAACTACCAAAACTGAACTTGTTTTCGGAATTACGGGGCCTAAAGCGCCGTTTACACACTTGCAGTCGAGTAAGATGGAGAGAGGCAAGACCGGTTTTTAAAAAAACACTGACATGTCAAAATCTTTTTTTTTTTTTTTTTTCATTATCCAAAACAATTGAAAACCATGTCTGAACATTGCTTTCAAAATTCGAAACCTGGGAATTCAATATTTGTGAAGCAAAAAAACTTTCAGCCTTTCCACTCTGCTAAAGAAGGAAGACCAGCGAAGCTTACTACGGTGGGACAACCTCAAGGACGACTTCTTTTACGACCTCAAGGATGACTTTTAGGACGACCTCAGTAACAACGTTTAGAACAACCTCAGTAACGACGTTTAGGACGGCGTCTAGAACGACCTCAAGGACGACATTTAGGACAACCTCAAGGATGACTTCTAGGATGAACTTGAGGACAACATCTCGGGACGACCTCAAGGACGACTTCTAGGACGACGCTTAGAAAAATTCGGCCTTTCCACTCTGGTGAAGACCAGAGTGGAAAGGCTGGAAAGGTTGCCGCTATCTATGAGCAAGGCCGGTAAACCAGTTGTCTGGTTACCGCCGTCGCTTATAGGTGGCGGTAGCTGTCCAGAGTTTTCTGTCGACATTTCTTTGCGGGGGACACGATCCTAGGGAAACTAGCCCTCAACAGCTCCGCTGTAAAAACAATTTCGAAACGCCGAATTTGAAGTTCTGACGCGATCTGCGCCAGGTGCAGTGACGTCAAATATTGAGCTGCCCTGCGAGTCAACTTCCTTTCACGTTTCCGCTCCGAACTGGCGTTGTGGCCGTTGCCGCCGCGACCCGAAACGAGGAGATGAGGAGCAAGAGAGAAGGGCGCCGGCGTACCGGGAAAAACTGGTTTCCTTCGTGCGTGCCGTGCTGCCTGCCTATCGCTGTGAGCAGACGACGCTTGACGTCTCACCCGTTCTGCACGAAAGGTTGCCGGGGCAGAGTCACAACCGAAAGTATAATACACAGACACCAAACACAGTTGTTTTGACCGTTTGGCGATTTCCTTTTCAAAGTCTGAGAGGTCGTCGGGCACCTTAAAAAGAGCACTTCATTCGATTCCCCGACTCACCGACCATCCTCTGCTATATGCGTTGAGCATCACCATGTTTCCCGAGAAAGGATTAAAATCCAAGAGGTAACATCACACCGGACTCTGATTTTTGATATTTCAAAAGGAAGGGCCTTTGTGCATTCGCATTTGCATTAAAAAACATGTTTTACGATTACCGTTATTCAATGTTATAGAAATGTCTCCTACAAAGCTTCTAAATTCCATGATATTTGACATCACAAATCAAAAGAAGCAAGGAGGGGAGGAGCGGGAGAGAAAAACGCCAAAAATAAAAAGGGTGCGGGAGAAAATTTCTTTTTGCAATGCGTTTTTCTCTTTTTTTTTTGTCTATGACTACAATTTGCATTGTTTTAGACAATTAAAAAAAAAAAAAAAAAAAACCTTTGGGATGTCAGTGCTTCTCTGAGAGTCGTCTGAAACGCCACGAGGTGACGTGATCCACGGAGTGAGGGGCTTCCGCTCCGCACACCAAAGCTTGTGTCAACCCCTTTAAGCCTCTTGCAACGACGTTGGGCCAGATGCTCTGCTGGAGAGCTGGTCCTACGCTGTCGCAAGAGGCTTAAAAACCGGTCTTGTTTCTCCCCGTCCTACTCGGTTGCAAGTGTGTGAACGGCGCTTTACTCTTTTCGGCATGATGTTTATAATCTCAGAATTTAAAAATTGCTACTAAGAAAAGGACAAATGACGGTTATGCCTCAACATAAATTCACATTTTCCCACGCTCTCCAGCGGGGTGTGTTCTATGCCTTGCCCGTTGTGCGGGGAGTCTGAAAAGCATGTTATTTGTACATTTTTGTTTGTTTGGCTGGAATGAGCATTCACTCATTCCAGTAGAGCCTCTCAGACCAAAGTTGAAAATTCAATAACTTTGCAAAAGAAGTTATTGCGACTGGTAATCTTGGTTACTAGTTCAGTTGTGTCTATTAATCGCTTTGATCAGTCTACCTGCATCTGGTGCACCGGTGCAGTAAAGTGTAGGACGGTGCACATACCGGATGTACACTGCCCTACACATTTCTGCACCGGTGCAGGTAAATCAAACAAAGCTCATGTGTTAAACACATTTTGAGGCAACTCGGTGACTATGAAAAGGCATTCTTCGTTGGCTTTGAAATAATGAAGCCTTATCATGATCAGCTGCAGTCTTGGTAACTCTTCTCTGTTGTCGCACTGCATCAGGGTCCCCTACTGTACCCTGATCAGCCAGCACCTGAGCCAGCTGGCCACCAAGTTCCCCACGACCAAATTCCTTAAGAGTGTGGCTACCAACTGCATACCCAACTACCCTGACCGCAACGTGCCCACCATCTTCGTCTACCGGGACGGCCAGCTCTGCAAGCAGTTCGTGGGACCCGACGTCTTTGGGGGCATGAAGCTCAAGGTGGACGGTGGGTTCTCTTTGCTAATGGTGCTAGACAAATCTTGTTGTGCGGGTCTGACTTCGGCCGTGAATACGGAGAAGATATAAGAAAGATGGGTGAACGGGTTACCATAGTTATCGGAGCCACGCGACTTAGCGTTCGCAAAGAGTGTTTCACATGCTGCGATTCCGTGGCCAGAACCGCTGCCACTAGCGGCACGGCGCGACGGCAATTCGCAACAGTTCGCAAGGTTTCATTTTGCACGAGCGTTTTCTACCGCTGCGGTGCCCGATGTTGATCGCAGCGACCGGATGCACCCAACGAGTTACTGCAGCTCGCAGTACCACTTCGCCACTTCATTTATTGTTTCTATTTTGTATCTTATTTCATTGAAACTGAATGGGCATACAGTTGAACCTCGATTTAACGAATTCAACGGGACCCGCTAATTATTTCGTTAAATCGGGAACTTCGTAAAATTGAGAAAGTCATTTTGCAGGCATAGGTTCCGCGGGGAATCCAAATTCGTTCCTTAAATTGGGAAATTCGTAAAATCGGGTTTCATTAATTCGAAGTTCAACTGCATTAGATGCCAAAAAAATTTATCTGTGTGTGCCTTTGCATATTCTTTATTTTAAAATGTGTTGCCTCAGATGCATCTGAATTATTCCCAAAGGAATGCAAATGCGTACACGTTGCGACGCAAGAGGCAAGACGAAAGAGGGAATCGACCTTACAGAGACTCTTTGTGGAACCCAGACACACGGGCCAAACCACTTCGAGGCATAACACACTGCTGAAGTGGAAACTGGCCCACTAAAAAAAAAACCAACGCGAGAAACCAAATTGGCCGCGTATTTTCTCCGCATGTCATCTGCTTGTCTGATTCTGAAGTCCTTTATGTTTGCCAAATTGGGCTGATTCTCAAGGTCTTCGGAGATACCGCCCTTTGCCGACTGAGACCTCGGGATCCTCTCCTGGTCCGCTTTGTCTCAACTTGACGCCGTCGCAACCGTCCTTCTCGTCTCGCTTTCTTTTTTTTTTCTTTTTTTCTCTTCTCCTTTCTCTTCTCTATGCAGATCTTTCGCTTCTGTTTCTCTTTGTTGTTGGTCCTTTCTGTCTACCCGCAGTCACCCGACACTTCTAACACGTCATACTCCGTTCTCATCTGTGGCCCCTCGATTTCCGCCCGGTGACTTCACGGAATGTCATTTTGTTGCCTTATGCGGCCCTGACAGCAGCACGGCGGCAGAGGGGGATGCAGCGGACGCCCGTTCCGTTGGGGGTGGCTGTTCAACTTCATGGTCTGCGGAAAGTTTGGCAGCTAGAATTGGGATGCCACGACAACGGCGGCACTTCCGTTTGCCCATCTTTTTTTTTGTCGGCACTTCTACGACCGATGGCCGGGATTGCAACGTCCCACGGCGTGACGCATAACTTGTCGCCACTTTTGCGAGCACTTTTGATATGTGGATCTTGCGGGACGCTAGACGCACCCGTTGAACGCGCATTGCAGGCGCCATACTCGCGGGCTGCCTCGGTGGTTCAGACGCTTTTCTGTCAATCAATAATGCGTTCTACGGCGAAATAACGTTTAAACAAACTCTAGTGTAACAAACCATTCGAATGAACACATTTTTTGTAAAATTCCCCAGCAGAACTTCAATGTGTTCGATGCATTCGGTTGAGTGAGCCTTCACTTTAAGCAAACTTTTTTTTTAGGTCTCTCGATACTTGTTCAAGTGGTGTCTCATTATTTTGGCACACTGTTAGTGGTCACGAGCAATTGCCAGTTTTTATGTTTTTGCCTTAAAACTCTACAACTGCCACAGAAACTGAGCACGACAGAAAGTCCTCATTGAGGACAGTAACCGAAGTGGTAAAGTTTTACTGCCCATCGGTACTCCGAGTAAAATGCAGAAAAAAGCCAATCTCGCATTCGTGCCAACTGTGTTGTGGGTCTGTGTGAACACAATGATCTCTGGCACGCAAGCACATACCTAAGAACCTCCACTATTTCAGAACACACAGCTATACACCATCTCATCTGTTCTGTACAGCATTCTGGGAAGTACTCTCACAGGCATGTGGCTTTGCCATGTGGCCGCTCTTGCATGAGGGCCCATCCAAAGAAAGCAGTCCGTGAGCCGTGCCCTTGCACCCGTTTTTCCCACAACCCCACACAAACCTGATTAGACGACGTATTGTGCCACGCCTCGCTGTACAGATGCGTGCCAAATCACTGCAGACCTCACATCTCGTGTCTGTTTGGTAGCTCCCGCATCTTTAGTTGGAAGAGGTAATTTTTCAATACCGAGTGTTTCCTTCACAATGTGGGTATGCTTAGACGGCTGGAACCTAATCAGCCCCAGTGGCCGTCTGGCGTCTTAGCCGTAGATGAAAAATCTGGACAGTGCAGTACCATTGCTAGCCTGGGGTCTTTAACGTGTATCACGCAGTAGTAAGACGTTCATTCATATTGAAACAGGCAGGAGTAAGGATTGAAGCCAGGCAATGCACTGTACCATTTTGCAATGATGGCAGACGATCCGTTGAAATGGCAAAATTACAACGGCGGAGTTGTCCTCTGGTGATAAGTTTACAACGTCCGAAAAACTGGACAGTAATGTAGCGGCACAGTCTTCGAAAAATGCTCCAAAATATTGTTGGTGTGAAGTCCGCACTGTTGAAGCTCCATCCGGCAACAGGACCAAGCTCTCATCACACTCGACTTCTATGGGTCTGCCTCAGCGTACACATACAGTCGCCAAGCGATTATTCGAACGTTTTCGCCGAACCGTCGCTCACCTCATAAAGTTAATGTGCAACATGGACCGAAATTTCGGACGCCATAAAGCTTATTGCTCGATATTTCTGACATAGTTTGCACGATTTACTTAGTTTACAGCCACATAACGGCTGCCGCGATAGCGCTGCGAGTTCAGTGACCGCCATTTTGGTTGTTTTGATTTTGTTCTGTGGGCTCAATGCCACGTCCTACGTAATAAACAAGCTGGGTTGAGGCTATAGTCAAGTTTTCCGGTTCCGCTATAGTCAAAATGGTCGTCGTCTGCCCATTCTTGTGGTTTTTGCGACGGCCGTCTGCCGTTTTTGTGGCTTTTGAGTGCGATGGTTTTTTGTTGATAGGCTTAGTATTGAAGCGAGCTTGGCGGACTAAACATTGTCTACAAATAGTGCCAAATGGCGCCAACTTTAACTTCGCTGTTTGTGACAACGGAGGCACTAACAAAGTGCAGCATCGTGATCAAACAGATCAACAAACAAGTGAAAAGTGAACAATATAAAGCGGAAGTTGCACGAGAACTTAAAATTGGCATGAAGCAAGTGGAAAGTGGCCAATACGCAGCAAAATATGAGAGAAATTCGGTATTTCGGCTGAAATGGATTTTTCAGACCGCTCGATTATTCGGACAATTACGGGGTCCTCTCGGAGTCCGAAAAATCGGTCAGCAACTGTAGAGGGAACACTGTAGTCACCAGCAGAATGAAAAGGGCGGGGCGTGTCTTGGCGGACACCTGGTCTCCAGCACATGCTCCAAGCTTTTCACCGTGCTCTAGCTGCATGTGCACGCTCAAGGTGCACGAGACGCGAAAGCATGGTCGTAGCTAGAAAGTTTGCGCCGAAGACTCCTCCCCACTGTTTTCACCTTGTCGGTGACCATATAGACCTTTTCACCCCCCTTCACGTGGGCGCTGCCATCTTGGAATCACGTGATGCAGCCACCATAAGCTGGCGTCAACTCGTCGCTCCTCTGCCCTCCGCGCCTTCGCGAAGTCGTCATATTTGTGTTGGGCTCCCCCGTTGGGCTCCCCGAGTAGAAAACATGTTAAAGCCAGCTTGTGAGCGCCTGACAAAAGCGCCTGAGGCACGCAATATTGCCGCGCTCGTCGGCGAGCAACCACATGCGTGGCCGAGTGGTTATCGCATTGACTGTCGCGCGGAAAGCCTGGGTTCGATTCCTGTCGGTGGAATGCTTTTTTATTTATTCTTTCAACATTGCGTTCTCGGCAGTTTGAGAACATTCTCGTCTGATCGAGTTCCGAATGTTCCAGTCGCCGAACATTCTAGGCCGATTATTCCAGAAGCCAACACACGTACATAAGGGGCTCCGCGTGGCAATCTGCAGTCAGTTTCGCCCCAGCGTTCGACTCTGCTCTTTCGCCGACTTCAACGCCCGCGACGCTCTGCTGTTATCTTTTGGTTCCTTTTTATGTTTGGGCACAAGTTTGCCCTATTAAACGTTTAGTTCCTTCAGTTATTCGCCGCCTCATCACTTGTCCTTCGTGACAATATGTAACGCCAAAAAGAAGCCATCTGCATGGAAATCTCTCAAGTGCAGCAGATCTACTCTCGACGTCGCTTTCAGTGGCGTCGAGAGTCAACACCGCCGACGCTGCATCTGCTCAGACAAGTAAAGATCTCTCTACACAAATCTATGAAGTGGCGCCTGGCATTCGACTTCAGTTAAGCTTGCTGGAGGTCAATTCCCTTGCGCCATTTCATTTTATTTCACAAATTATACAGAAGGCAGGTGTCCGGCTTCATTTAACGGATTTGTTCCTTATCTCACATTCTAAATACGTTGTAAGAAAATGTTTTTACAACAAAGTTACCTAAGGTCAACATTGGGAAATGCTGCTATGCCTTAGCAGGGCCGATAGTTGAAAAAATGTCCTGCTCAGCCTGGATGGACCATGGAAACATCTCTTGAGTCTTTCATTTCTTTAAAGAAACCGATAGATAATATAGCTTCTTTTCTGCATTCTATGCGTCATCACAGGGGGGTTTCCCAGTCTGAAATTTTCACAAAATCTTGGTGTCCTCGAAAATCAAACAGTGAGCACAAAACTTGAGAGTTCATCTAGTCTCTGTGATTCAGCACATTGTTAGTCAGGTTGTCACCCTTCTTTTTCAGTTTGCCTCTATGCATTAAGTCTCTTCATTAGTTTATTTTTATGAAAACTAGTGTCATCACCCTCTGTCAGGTAACTACTGAGATGAAAAG